GAAAGCTGAGAGGACAAACTGTTATGATGAATCCATGCAGCAAGAGAGGAAGGAAGTACAAGACTGCCATCAAGTGGTGAAGCTGAGGATAGGCTGATATAAACCAGTGATCACTAAAGAATGGAAATATATAAAAGGTTGGGAGGGTTACTTTAAAAATGTATTCTCTTACATTTCTATTTACTTTTATAACAAATCAGTAACCTCAATAAAAGTAATGATACGTGATTACTTTCCATTACTTTTGGATTACCTCAATATCAGATACAATGCAAATAAATATATATATTAAAAAAATATATATATTATGCAAGATAACAGAACAATATAACCTTAGAAACCAAGGTATTTAGTATAAAAAAATGATTTTATTGATAGGAAAACCTGCCCTTCACTCAGCATATTCAGGCAGCAGCATGTGCACCAACACTGAAACACATGAGCACATACTACAGCTTAAAAAAGCAGAAATGAAATATGAGCTGAAAATGCTCCTTTTTAGTTTAACACACACAGTTATGCTCACACACACTATTTTATGAACATATAGGTTCACCTATTGAATTAAAAAAGAACAAATTAACTAAAGAAAGTGAACCATAAAGCAGATTCAGGCAGTAGGCGTATAGATTCACACTACAGAAACCACATCATGCACAGAACCCCCCCCCCCCCAAACGCCTCGTTGATGGTCCTTTGTGTTATTCCATAGAGTGGTGACATCACTGTTACTCATTTGCATAGCCCCATCCCCCTCACGCTTCTCTCGGCCTGCTCCGCAGCACAAGCTTGTCAGAACCGGACCGAGCAGAACCCAAGTAGTTCCTAAACACTGCGACACCATGTCGAGAAGACGCTGTTTCATGCGCTGCGAACGGAAACTCCCCTTGTTTGGACTACCGAAGGAAGAGGGGTTGAGGAAGAAATGGCTGCAATTCATTTTCATCAGTATTCCCACACAGTTCAACCCGAACCTATCATTGTGTTCCCAACATTTCACCGACGACTGCTTCATGAACCACACACAGTTCGTAAACGGATTTTCGCAACGTTTACACATGAAATACGGGGCAGTGCCTACTTTGTTTGGTGACCCTGGCAATCCGGTGCCACAACCTGTAAGTCATCTTTGATATTACTTGTGAAGTTGCTAACACAGTGCTAGTCTCAGCTAATTTGCTAGCTAATGTTATGAAGTTCAAACTGTAGAGCTTATCTGCTTTATTTCAACCAACTCTATAAATATGGCGGTGTTCTTTTCCGTTCACAACATGTTGAAATGTGCTCTAGTGTCGTCGGTGTATTGTTACAAGCTTTTATGATACGGTCTCTATCAGCTGTAGCTTAGCTATCTTGCTAACGTGAGCTGAGTTAACAATAACTCTGGCGCTGTTGTTCCTGCCCAGTCTCTGTTCTCATTTCACAGTTGCGTTATTGCCAACCAACACGAACAAAACCACCTTAGCCAACATACATTGTGTGACATATTTTACTAACTTGCTAACGTAAGACAAGTTGATACTATCACCGGTGTGTAAGATACACAGACGTGTGGTGGGCGTGGACTTTGAGGACCCAGTGACCACTTTTGATAGCTTCTCCTCCATGGATGTTCTCCCTGGCCCTTTCTCATTTCACTAATTACCCCTCCTTGACTCCTCGGTTGCGGTCGAATAGTCAAAAAATCAGCTCCTAACGTCTATCCCTTGACCTCTGTGTGAAATGTCACGGGGTTAAGGGATAGTGGATAGGATAATTCAAAAGGACTTAGGAGAAGAGGCTGCGATACTTTAGAGAATCCGACTGCACTTTCACTATCCGACTTCACTTTCACTATCCGACGTGTTTATGATGCGCCAGCGGAAGTCATAAATGTGCGTCTGCCGCTGTGGGGAAACTACAGTTTTCTATACAGCGGACTACAACATGGATGTATAATAAGAAGGAGGGACTACTGTAAACACATCTGGAGACTCTGCACCGTGCTCTGATGCTGTTGCTTTATGCTTTATGAACGTGGACAACAGAAACATATTCTTCATGACCAAAGTTGGAATTGAAATAAAAAAGGAAAGTAACATCTATCACTGTGTATATCACCATTCAAACATCTTTTTAAAAGTTGAACAAACCCCACACAGCTCAGTAGAGACTGTGAAATGTTGACCTTATTTGATCATTTCAGTAAAAACTAACGTTCATATTTCTCTTTTTGATCATAATCCGTTCAAAACAAAGCACTACCACATACGTTTTAATAAGCAGCGTAACTTTCATGATATAATTTCTCGGTCATAATCGGTTATTTCCGTGAACGGCCGAATGTTGTGTGACGGCAAATGCTGCGGCTGCAAGGCATTGTGGGGCAGCGTTTTCTCCTCTCCTTTCGTAAAGGGAGGTCCAGTGGTTCCTAAGCTAAAGGAGGTTATAAAGGAAGTTTGAAACCTCCTTTCCTATCATCCAGACTAGAGAAGCGGTTTTCAAAGTGTGAGGCGCCTCTCCCTGGGGGGTGCCAGAGAGCTTCAGGGGAGGCGCAGCGTGAGGAAAAAAGAACGAGAAAAATATGAATAAAGTGTCACTTGCACACTTTTGGCTGTCTGTGGAGACAGAGTTCCCCCAACTCGCCAAAAATGCTGTAAAAGTGCTCATTTCCTTCACCTCCACCTACCTGTGTGAGTGCGGGTTTTCCGCATTGACTTTGATCAAAGGCAACTACCGGTCAAGGCTGCAGCCAGAGGATGATCTGCGTTTATTCCTGTCTACATTGCATCCCCCGCAGAGTCCTGTACGG